GGTCGGTCCGTACCGGCAGTCGCCCGCCCGCTGCGCGCTCTCCCCCGGCCACCCTAGGCAGGAAAAACGGTGCTCCAAATCAGAGAAGGCCAATTCCTACTTAAGAAAATCACTGAGGTACCCGAGGTAATTAATGCCTTTGGAAGCCTTTCTTTGCACTAATTACTCCGTTGTAAATGACCATCATTAAGGCAATTGAGGAAAGCTTGAAGGGAAAATTTGATGTAGGAAGTGCAGTTAGTATTAATTAACCGTATGATCTCTTGGCAAGTGCAAGAACATCAAAGGTTGTAGGTGTTTACTTAGCTACAGGATTTTATCAGCGGTGAAAGTCAATGCTTGTCCATATTCGGTAGGTTTTGGTGTAAGGATAAGGGTCCGCAAAACATTTGGTCCGTGCCCGTGACGATCCTTTGGGGAGAGCTGCTAAACCAAGCACCTCGGAAGGGGGAAAGTAACGAAGGTCTGAAACGCCCCTGGAAAAGAGGCAGGGCAGGCGCAGTGGCAACTGCAAGTTCTGCGCTTGTTTGAGTCAGAACGGCTGGTAGTAGGGCAGCTTTACTGGATTACAGGCATTTCTCGGCTAGGGGCATAAGCACTTCTTTACATCCCAGCCTGCAAAGATGTTGCTCTTGTCTGTCCAGAAGCGGGGTTTGTTTCCTTTTAACGTTTGGGGAACGTGGAATGATTCAGCCCCTTTTGTGCAAGTTCAGTATCTCGCATCTTCTCCGAGGTCTTCATCGTTTCCAAGCCCAGCTCGGGAGAGAGCAGACGGTCCGGTCGCTCAGGGGCCAGACCCCGGGGTCTGACCTGGCCCGCGCTGGCTGGCCCCGGGGTGTTTGAGGTGTGACTCCAAAGGGAGCGAGGGTCCCACTCGGCCTGCGTGTGGGCTTATTTTAAGTGTTTGTGGGAGCGGCCCCTCGCTCCAGACGGGGTGCACAAGGACAGGCACTGCCCGCCCGGGGGACACGGGTGCCTCGGAGACTCGGTGCGAAGCGGCCCGCTCCCGGTCTCCCCG